CACTTTTCCATTTCCCATGGTGCATCTTTCCATGGATGTTTGCCCACATAAGCACCGTGCCTCCTTCTGACAATTCACATTTAACTGACCCGTTACTCTCTCATCTTTGATAACGAGCCCACACAAACAACCACCCATCTATCTTTCCCAGTAAAATTACTTTTCCCAATCCAGTCCGCCCACTGAGAGGCTTCCATCCTACTCACTCACATTCCCCGGTATGCCTCCACACAACAATGAACAGAAGAGCAGAGCAAATTGACAACCAGAGGGCAATTGGCAATGTAGGACAAAGACTCTGAGATATACCGGAATGCACAGAGACATACTGTACACACACACACATACACACACACACACAAATATGAATGCCAACACACAATCACCACTATATTTTTTTCTTGGTTTTGTGGTCCACATCAATTCTGAATGCAGGTTTGTACAATGCAGCAAGGTAGTAAGACATAAGGATCTGTTTCTATTGGCAGTTTTGAAAAGACATGTTGCTGTTAATGAGTGTTTCTGTTCCTTAGTGCATATTTAGCTAGCTGTGTAACTCCAAGAATGGCAGTGTTGCTTCAAACACATAGATTTAATCGATATTTCCATCTGAGTTTAGACCAAACCCTAACCCTAACTCAAACAAGTATTCGACGATGAACATGCAAAGAAAATGGCAATGGCGGAAGAGGGATGACAACCATGAACAGCGCGGAGAATGAGGCAATAAGTGAGAAAGACTTGGACAAAAAAAAGCTAAAATCACCGTCCAAACATTAATTGGTTGGGCAAATATTTGATCCACAAATTAAAATGCAGTTTCAATAAACCTCTGTCACCTGGACCGGTCAGTCTGGACCAAACCCTAACCCTAACAACCATTCAACGATTGGCATGATTTTTGTTTAAAAAAAAAAGTTTTTATTGGCAAATATTAGCTAACACGCTAATGGTTTTCATTATACTTGCTAATATGCTGGGGGGGGGGGGGGGAGAGGGGTGACAATCTGGAACAGCACCATGAATAATGCAATAAGGGAGAAAGACTTTGACAAAGAAGAATCACTATCCAAACATCTGTCATTGTGATGGGCAAATATTGGTTCCACAACATAAAATGCATTGTCACTAAACATCGCCTTCTTTACATTCATGTACAGTATGGATAGTGTGTAGTGAATGTTAATGAACAAGCGCACTCATGCACTCGATTGAATGGATATTTCAATCTGATTCTGGACCAAACCCTAACCCTCCCCCTAACAACTATTTGACGATTGGCACGATGTTTCATACAAATATTAGCTAACATGCTATAAGATGGTATCAACATGTTAACTTTGTCATTGTAGGCATGTTAGCATGTTGAGGTTAGCAGGTTCAGAACTATAGCATGGCAGCAGATTCTCAGTTTTGTTTTACATTAGTGTCATTTGAACGAGTCGGAAATTAAGCCAGTTGAGATTCTTATATTCAAAATGACCCTTCATTACACCTCATTATTTTTAAATGATTTCACACTTTTAGATTGATTTCTAATCTGCAGTAACATCAGGGCAGATATCTGCATGCCCCATTAATGATAGTCATTATGTCTAAGGACTCAGTCACATTAGCGCAATCTCTTAAAACAAATCGTTGGAGCAAGCCCTCTTTAGTTCATTGGCCTCATAAAAGGCAAAATCACGAGTCAAGATGTGGCAGTACAGAGAAAATAGTTTATCATGTAATGGCAAGAGAAAGCACATAGAGGGGTACAGTGGTAGAAAACACATTTCCAATAAGTTAACACCTCCTTCTGCAGGAATAAGTGTATCCAGGTGGTGGTATTTTTGTTGTTCCAGTTTTAACTTGAATATGTTTGTTTAGTTCTGCAAATTTGCTGACAACAATGTTAGTGATCTGATCCTGAACCCAACACAACACAATGGATACTGTGTCAGTGTACTGTGACAGTAGTGTAGACACACACTTAGCATACAGGCCACTAGAGCCACCTTAAACCAGTATTTAGCAGCACTTGCAGGTCCGTAAGTTAATCAGAGTGCTAAATAGGTTCAACTACATCACAAATTGTCAATTCACCCACACTTACACACACCTACACACATGCTTAGTGAAGCCCTATTCTGTCTGTTATGGTGATTTAACACCTTTCCCAGTCCACCTGTCCCAATTCCACTGGTGCAAGTCGTAAATGTCTGCTACACTGGTACTCCACGCTTCTTTGAACACACCAGCATCAGTACTGAACAGCTCTAAGCACACACTTACAATTCTTTCTTTCTCTTTCATCCACACTTTAACCAGTCTCTCCCTCTTTCCGTTTCATTGCACAACTAATACTAAATCATTGTCTCTCTCTCTCTCTCACTCACACACACACACACACACACACACACACACACACACACACACACACACACACACACACACACACACACACACACACACACACACACACACACACACACACACACACACACACACAACCCGCCATAACCACACTGTGAGGTCTCCTCCCCCAGGAGCATTATATCACACCTGGGTATTTCACACTCCGCAGAGCTCCACGCTCGTTAAATCAATGATTTCCCATGAAATCAGGAGAAGATATGCTACCATGCATCACGCCTGACTTTTATATCTAATGGAGAAGTGGTGGTAAAGTTTATGTGGACATGTGATGCTTGGGTTGGATAGTGGAGAGAGAAAATGTGATTAGCAGGAGAGAAAGTCCAGAGGGTGTGTGGATGGTTATGGTATTATTCAACAATAATGGCTACTTACTTTTATGCTCTATTCCTTTCAGGGGCTGATTATAATCTAGCCTCTCTCCTACTCTTTCTCCATCTTCCCGCACATCTCACAATCTCTTTCCCATATTATTTTGTGTAAATCCGATCTGTCTGACTGGTTTCTATTTCATCGTCTACAAAACGTACTTGCGGTGTTCCTCAGGGATCAATTCTGGGCCCTATTGTTTTACATGTTTCCCATTTGTTTCATGAATATGCAGATGATACACAAGTATGTCTTTTGTTAAGCTTGGCTTCCCTAACAGACTGATTTGAATATATTTGATCATGTGTATTTTTCACCATCAAACAATGGCAAGACTGAGATTCATCCCAACTGGAATATTGTAAGTAAAAAGGCACTAAATTATCTTCAGTTTGTCCAAAATGTAGCTGATCAGACTTGAACTAGAACTGGCTTCCCAATGCTTTCAAGGAACAATTACAAACTATATTCTTTCCTTATGAAGACCTTAATGGATTGGCTCCAAGCTATATCTCTAATTTAGTAAGCCCATATGTAGAAGTTATTCCCGCTTTACCAAACTGGATTTTGAAATTAGGTGACCATGCATTTTCTATAGTAATGCACCTAAACTGTGAAATGAGTTACCGTTCACTACATGCACTATACTTATTGTACATACAAACTACCTTGTATAATGTCCTCCAAAAATATGTAATACTCTTTCAATTACAGTTAAGATGTTTGTATTAATATGTATATGGTTTGCAGTCATGCTAGCAGCATCTATCCACCCTTTGGTCCTGACTAAAATATCTACATATATCCATTTATTGAACGTAAACTAGGCCAGTAAGACGGTGCCTTTTTTCCAAGCTTTTTATTAAAGGATCCTCAAAGTGTAAGACTGATAAAATAAAAGCAAATCTATTTATTTTGTCAAGTTCTGCCTTTCTCCCTCTCTACTGTACACCCTGTAAAGGTATCGGAAGTTATGCATTTTGTCTCCTCTCTTTCTTACCTGTTTCCGTTTCTCATTCCTTCCCTGCCCTATACATTCAATGCACAAACAGCTCCCCCCCCCCCTTCCTAAAACCAATGTCACTTTCTAATTTGCCTGCAGAGAACATCACAGTTTGCACAGCTGTTAATCTAAGAAGGTTGGCAGAGGCAGAGAGATTATGGCAGTGATGATGGCGGGCAGAGGGACGACAATCTGGAACAGAATGACGCAATGAGGGAGAAAGACTTGGACTAAAAAAATAAGAAGTTTGAGTCTGTTGCAAAATCACTGTCCAAACATCATTGAGCAAATATTGGACCCACACATTCAGATGTAATGTCAATAAACACCTTCGTAACATCAATGTATAACGAGCATTGTGTAGTGAATATTAATGAATAAGCGCATACTCTGCAGTTTCATTCAAGCATCACCCGCACAGGAATGCATTGGGTCTTTTCTCCCCGCCACCCTCCTCCCTCCCTTTCTTTCTTTCTTTCTTTCTTTCTTTCTTTCTTTCACACACACACACACACACACACACACACACACACACACACACACACACACACACACACACACACACACACACACACACACACACACACACACACACACACACACACACACACACACACACACACACACACACACACACACACACAGACACACAGCGCTCTGGGAACCAATCACCATCGCCTGTTTCCAGGTCCTGTTTGTGAATGGGATTTTTACGGGAGACGAGGGGGAGGCAGGCGCCGCTGCGTTTGTAGACATGCAGCTGCTTTCAGCATCCCATTCTCAAATATTGAATTATTTCTCTCAATCTGTTTTCTGCTCGACTGTATAACACATTTTGTATTCTTCTGTCACACCCTGGTTTCCGTTTCTCCTTCTTCTTGAACTCTTTGACTCTTTTCTCTTTTTTTGATGCAGACTGTGAGTGCTGAATAAAAATAGCCTTCCTCTTTTCCGATGCTTTTAAATTCACTTTTCCCCTGACACACCGTCACCGTCATCATCACCATCACCATCATCCAGCAGTGTTTGCCTTTCATACATCTTTGTACTGTCATGTCACTCTGCCATATACTGCGGAACAGCTTATACCCTTATTCTCCTTGTTCACATATCATCCCGTCTTCCTTTTCAATCAGCGGAGGATGCATGCAATGTAGAGGACCACCAACACACACACACACACACACACAGAGAGACATTTGTAGACACTTACCTCCAGTGACAGGGACAGTGCTTCTGAATCCTCAGTAGTTTTTAAGGAAGACCGGCAAGCCTGCAAGCTTCTGGCGTCTGGAGAGAAGTGAAGGACAGAGAGAGATGAAGAGGAAGAGAGTATAAAGAAAAGAGACAGCGGAGATAGTGAGAAGTGTAAAGAGAGAGAGATAAAGTGGACAGGAGAAGGCGGGCTGTGCGATACAAGAGGAGGTGGAAGAGGAAGAGGAGGAGGAGGAGGAGGAGGAGGAGGAGGGTCCTCTGGCTGGCTGGAGGTGAGATGAAGGGGAGAAAGAGAGGGAGAGACAGATAAAGGACCAGGGAGGGAGAGAGAGTGAGGGTGCGCTGGATTGGGATAGGAGGGGATTGGGTGAGGAGGAGGAGGAGGAGGAGGAGGAGGAGGAGGAGGAGGAGGAGGAGGAGGAGGAGGGATTGCAGGGAATTGAGGAAGAGGAAAGTTGGAGAGAGGAGGGAGGAAGGACGGGTGAGGATGCAGAAGAAGGCAGAAAAGGTACAAAGACACCAGTATGTTCAGGCGCTTTCATTTGTTGGAAATTAGTCAAACTATCACCACCACTCTCTTTACTGTATCACAACTGTACTGTCATTTCATCGTCATACAAGTGCACCAAGGGACAGACCCTAACCCTAACCCTAACCTCGGACTGAACATATGCCCTCAACTCTGACCCAACCCTCTCTCTAGGTCATCCTCGTCGCTTCCAGTCATCCCGGTTCTCCGTATAGGATTTGGGATGACTTTGTTCTTCATGGTTGGCTTTACTATGCTGATTAAGGACTGGGGGGCACAACTCCTCTCAGTCCTTTAGTTCAGAGTGTCCTTCTCCTAGATAGGTTGCCTTCCATGGCTACGAGCCCCATGTGCCCGGGGAGCATTGTAGGGAACGGTGCCTTGCTCAGGGACACCTCGGTAGCACTTGGTCTTGCCGGGACTTCCAGTTGCCAAGCCAACTCCCTATCGACTTCGCCACCACCGCCCTATAACCCGGACCAGAACTATCACACCGTGTGATGTTACATGTTACATAACCAATGTCAATTAAAACTCTTTAGCCAGAATTGCTCACAGTGTGTTTTCTACCCACAGCTGCTTTATAGTATAAAAAGCTCCTTCACTTGAAATCCCTGCAGCGCTTGAAGGCGAAAAGAATGATAAACCTTCAGCATGTGATGTGCAGTGCCAGAACGCAGCGCCCAGCGATGCCTTGAGACAAACGTGGATTTGAGCATGCAAAAGGGCAGCATGTGTACGGCCCCTCATAATAATATGTTTCCGCAGAAGCGTTGTTCTGCAGCACAATCAACACTGTCCTCACTACTAGTTCAGAGTATTTTTAATACGCCTTAAATTGTGCTTACAGCTAATTTTTCACTGGACAATATGATCGGAGAGATTGAAATGTGCCAGACTTTTACAGATTTCCGGTAATTACTTCATTGGATTTCTTAAAAACGACAGCAGGCTATAGCCACTCACACAAATCAAATGCTTGGACACTTCATATTCTGCTTTTTTGATGTAGGAGATCTTCCATTGTGGACCAGGGCGCATCCTGGCCTCTTTCCGACTTGAAGAAATTACTTTTTACTCCGGGCACAGGCGTAATTCCAATAGATGCGTGTACAGTACGTTAAAAAGAGTGGTTTGAGCACATATTGATCAAGGCTTCTGTACGACCTCTTAAGCTGCATTCACATTATACGAGACGTGCTCTTTGCTGACTGCAAGGTTGGGCGAAGAGCCTTGCGGAAAAAACAGTCAGTAGAGTTTGGTTTCCAGGGATAGGACCCTTGCTACATACAGTGGATATCGGAGTGGTTGCGCATCAATAGGTCATCGGTTACAAGGTCAAAGTTGAAATAATTTCAACTTTGGGAACAGCGCTCAGAGACAATCTTGAGCAGTAGTAGTAGCCATAGAAACACAATGGCAACTTCAGCGCAGAGTCCTTTTACCGTGTGTCATGTGAAAGCAGCTTAACGTGAACTGCAAACTGCCTCTTGTTTTTGCGTGGCGCTCCGGCAGCACTAGCCATGGAAATGTAAAGAGCAACAGAGCAACAGTGGTTCCACAATGCTTAAATCTGAAATCATATTATCCAGGATGTTTTCACTTGGCGGGTAATAACCAAATGTTTGCATTAGCGCTGTCGCCTCTCAGTGTGCAACTTAAATGATTTTTTTTTAAAGGAAAAAAAATATGATTCGAAATGAACGCAGGCATCAGCCACCCTGGACCAGCCGTCACATGCACCTGTACCTGCAGACAATCCATTTCAGAGTGGAGAACATGTCCTTCCATCCAATAAATCACACTGTAATCCAATCCTGTGCTGGTGTGTTGCAATTAACTTTGGAGCCATAACTTACGGTAGCAGAAGACGGAGAAATGAGGTGAAGAAATAAGAGCTGAGCGCGTTTCCTTAGAGACACGAATAGGGGAACGTGGTACGCTACGGAAAAAGGATGCAGTGATAATGATAGAGGGCATTGCAGGCCACGTGGAGAGCAGAAGAAGAGGAGCAGATTGGCCTCTGGCTGAATGCACTCAGGGATGAAAGGGTGGCGAAGGAAATAGAGCAAGAGAGGAAAGAAGAACGGAGGATGAATGGAGGTGAGGAATCCACTCATCTCTCTTGTGCTTTTCATACATTTGAGTGAAGGTACAATGTGAACAGTGACATACACGTGACCTAGAAACAAGTTACAGCCATGGACGGATTATAAAACAAACGGCCTCTGGGCACAGACAAGTAAAGACTGCAAGACTACAGTAAAAGTGACGCAAAACATACTGCATCACTTCTTGAAGGCGTGTGTGTTCATTTCTCTCCTTTCTTGCCTCTCTTTATAGTCGTGTCTTCTTGTCGTTGCTTTGCATTTCTATTTGCATCTCTTTGAGGTCATTTTGCTTCAGATTTGTTGCATCTTCGGTTGTTCAGGCTTTCTTTATGGAAGCTTTTTGTCGTTCTGGATGTGTATTTCTGTCCTTTCTGCCAATGAGTTTTCTGGCTCTGTTTGTCAGCAGGTTTATGGAGAAATGACTGGCCTAATTTTCATGGAAGGATGCAGCATGGGCCAAGGAAGAACCCATTGAAATTTGGAGCGGATCTGATTCACAGAGAATTATATTTCACTTTTGGTAGCAGTACAAGACAGAACATGCATTTCCACTTTGCTATTTTGTGTCTTCACAGACTTCTGGGGAGGTTTGATGGTGTCTTTCTTTGTGTTGCCTTTCTTTACTCATATTTATTTTTCTGGGGTGTTTTTTGTCATCATCTTTTTAGTCATAATTGTGCATTTCCTTGTGGTCACCCTGTGTTTTTCCTGTTTGTGTTCACTTTGCTTGTGTATTAGTCACTCTATGTCTTTCACATCTGATTGACTTGCCCGCTCTGTGACTGTTTTACCTTTGCAGGCAAATGAATCCCTCGCTGAATGCACTGAAGATGTGAAGCATGGTAAAGCACCTAAAGGACATACTTTTTGGAATAAGCTCCTGATTTACGGGTCAAGTCTCATTCGTCACAGTAGGACCTGAGGGGCATGATAGGACCAGTGGTAATGAAGATGAGATGCTTTGGAAAATCTTTTTTTATATTCCATGTCAGAGGTCTGGGTCATCTGGAAATAGCAAGGCGAGGATTCATTTTCTTAAGGTGAGGCTTAATTTGCTCAAGGACACTTCATCAGGTTGGATGCTGGCAGAGATTAAACCTGGGACTGCTTGTGTCCTTTTTAAAAATAGCTTTACTTAGCGGTTTAAACACCTCACTGAAAATGGCCGTCCTTTTCCACTAAAGCCAGCTAAAGCCAGCAGTACTGGCTCTAAGCTGGCCTGTAATGTGTTGCCATTAAAACACATTGTTGTTATGTTGTGCTGCACTATGGGATTTTTTAGAAAAACCAGCCTCCAGAATGTGAACTTCTTTTTGATAACCAATCAAACCAATGATTTTCAAGTTTCAAGGCTTTATTGTCATTTGCACATTAGCTACGGTGTAGAAAATATATGTAGAAAAACGTAGTCTCCTCCAACAGTGCAACATATATATAGGACATAAAACAATAAAACAGATAAAATAGTGCAAGAGAATTTGAATACATTGTTTAATTTAAAGGTCTCCTATTATACTGTGTTTCATCAATATATTATAGGTCTCAGATATATACAAAACATGTCTCTGAAGTGTTTGGCTCCAAACACCAAACAGATCATTGCAGCATCCCATAATCCCCTCTGTTTCAGCCCTGTTTCAAAAGTGCTGATTCTCTGTCTGTTACTTTAGATGAAAATAAGGAGCCACTCCCCACGCCCCTCTGAGAGATATTTGGTTAAAAAGAACACAATGGTGCTCTAGGAGGAGATTCAGGTGATAAGGTGGCTAATGGTTACACAAGCCAACACATCGTTATGACATCATAAAGTGGCCAAAATCTGATCAACTCATTGTGGAGTTTGCATAATAGGTGACCTTTAAATCCCAGAAACTGCCTTGAATGGCATTGACATACTTCCAACAGTATCATGGGAAGTAGCTGCCTTTCCACACATGCGCAGCACAAATCAGGTTTCCGGTACGGATTGGTTAGGGACAGCCACTGGCAATATAAGAGGAAGAGAGAGAACAAAATCTCAAAGATACAGAGAAAAAACACATATTATTAATTCATAAACAGCTCATTTTTGGATTCCAGACTTTTTCTCAAAACTATCTGGGGCAGCAATTGTCAGAGAAGTGTCTCCACTACTGTCAATCCTCACAGGCTATTACATGCATGGTTAAGTGAATGCTTTTGAGTGCTCATGTCATTTAAATGGCTGCATGCATCAGTGCTGACACGGGAAAACATTTCAATACGATTCCATAGACTTGCTTTCATTGTTCTGAAGTGATTTTGGGAAACAGGCAGTAATGGAAGGCAACTGTGCTGTGACGGTAATAGCATCAAGTGTGTGTGTGTGTGTTTGTGTGTGTGTGTGTGTGTGTGTGTGTGTGTGTGTGTGTGTGTGTGTGTGTGTGTGTGTGTGTGTGTGTGTGTGTGTGTCTGTGTGTGTGTGTGTGTGTGTGTGTGTGTGTGTGTCTGTGTACGTTTGTTTATGACCCCCAGAGAGTAACATGTGTGTGTGTGTGCGTGCGTGCGTGCGTGCGTGCGTGCGTGCGTGCGTGCGTGCGTGCGTGCGTGCTGTGTGTGTGTGTGTGCGCCCAGTGATAGAGAGAGAAGG